AAACAGTTATGTGAAAAATTTTAGTAAAAATATCTTCAAAACTGAGGGAGCTTTTTATAAAAAATTAAAATTTAGGCAAAGTTTCAAGTACNACGTTATCAGGACTAGTAGTTATAAAAAGATTTAGATCGTTTCGACGTATTTTGCAAATGTGCCTTCAATTAAGATGTTTTTGAAATAAAAATTACGCTGAAGATCGCATAATTTTTTTACTTTAAAGGCTGGTTTATTCTGAAAGCACACCTCCTCTAAGGTGTCATATTATAATTGTATGTAGAATAAAATACATACTCTGCCGGAACAAAGTATTGGCACAGCAAATTTTTCACAATATATGCAACAATTTTCATTATATTTTTCCGCTAATTTCGTATAAAAATATGGTTCATTCTACAACAAAAAACATAAAAATATAATTCTTAAACTTTGTGCGAAACTCGCGAAAATTGCAGATTTGTAGCCCAATCAATTTTATAATAATAAAGTGCAAGTTTTAAGTAGCTAGGAATTACCGTTGATTTTTGGCAATACAAACATTTTTTTTCAAAAAACTTTATGGAAAAAATTCAAAACACATTCAACAAAAAAAATCTCAAAATTCAATGCGATTTTTGACTAACTCCTAACTTGCATTTTGTTTACTAGAATTTAATGGGCTGCAAAACTGCATACTCAAAAAAATCTAAAAAATCTGATTAAAGAGTTGAAAATTTTGCTGAATTTTAGCGAGTTTTGCACAAAGTTTAGGAATTATATTTTTATGTTTTTTGTTATTGAATGAGCCACAAAATTGGCGGAAAAATATTAGAATAAAAATTGTTGCATATATTGTGAAAAATTTGCTGTGCCAATACTTTGTTCCGGCACTGTACGTAAAAAGTTTTTAAAATGGAATGCTTCAAAAACTATACGCGATAAACCCAACATTGTGAANTTGAAATATACGTCAACATATCATCAGGAACGTTCTAAAGAATAAATAAACAGAAAAGTTGATTCCAAACGTTCAGAATGAATAAAGAAATTCAGCCATTATTTGATTATTTGTAGGGTTGCAATTTTATAATTCTTTTATGCCTCACAGTGTCTGAATTTCCTTCTATTTTAATTTGGTCGTAAAATAAATTGTATCCCGGAATCCTGGGATCCCGAGGGTTTGATCCCGATATTTCGGGACTAAAAAGCGTTGGGGACACCCAGGATTTGGGATCCCGTATCTCGGGACTAGATGCCTTACTCAGATGTGAACAGTCAAACACGTGTGTAACACATTTTTGTATGAAAATATTATTTTTAATACTATGAAATTGGTTTTTGTTGTTTTTTTTTTTAATCATCTTATGCTTATCTTATGCTTTATATATTCATAGTACTATGAACATATTTAATGCATTATTTCCCTCAGGGTTAAATATTTACCTGCTTAATTGGAGCAGTTATTACGCAAAACAACGTCTCTGATCAATTAGTTGTATGGGAGCTAGATATGAACCGATTTCGATGATTTTATGGATTAGTTAAGGTAATATTAAAAAACAGTTATGTGAAAAATTTTAGTAAAAATATCTTCAAAACTGAGGGAGCTTTTTATAAAAAATTAAAATTTAGGCAAAGTTTCAAGTACCGGTATATCGAAAATTGGAGCCAATCGGGAAAAACGGAGGACGCCATTCAATTTAGAAGGCTCCAATTAAGTAAGAGCAACTATCAGAACCTTTGCCGAAAAAAAGTTGCTTTGATACCACGCTCGAAACATTCTGCCTAAAAGAAGGGGCATAATTAAAAGTAGTAAATCAGGGTTTTTACACACTTCTAGATAAAAAAANAACTGGTCAAAATATCGCACTCCTATTATTTTGTAGACAACTGTATATGTAACGTTATCAGGACTAGTAGTTATAAAAAGATTTAGATCGTTTCGACGTATTTTGCAAATGTGCCTTCAATTAAGATGTTTTTGAAATAAAAATTACGCTGAAGATCGCATAATTTTTTTACTTTAAAGGCTGGTTTATTCTGAAAGCACACCTCCTCTAAGGTGTCATATTATAATTGTATGTAGAATAAAATACATACTCTGCCGGAACAAAGTATTGGCACAGCAAATTTTTCACAATATATGCAACAATTTTCATTCTAATATTTTTCCGCTAATTTCGTATAAAAATATGGTTCATTCTACAACAAAAAACATAAAAATATAATTCTTAAACTTTGTGCGAAACTCGCGAAAATTGCAGATTTGTAGCCCAATCAATTTTATAATAATAAAGTGCAAGTTTTAAGTAGCTAGGAATTACCGTTGATTTTTGGCAATACAAACATTTTTTTTCAAAAAACTTTATGGAAAAAATTCAAAACACATTCAACAAAAAAAATCTCAAAATTCAATGCGATTTTTGACTAACTCCTAACTTGCATTTTGTTTACTAGAATTTAATGGGCTGCAAAACTGCATACTCAAAAAAATCTAAAAAATCTGATTAAAGAGTTGAAAATTTTGCTGAATTTTAGCGAGTTTTGCACAAAGTTTAGGAATTATATTTTTATGTTTTTTGTTATTGAATGAGCCACAAAATTGGCGGAAAAATATTAGAATAAAAATTGTTGCATATATTGTGAAAAATTTGCTGTGCCAATACTTTGTTCCGGCACTGTACGTAAAAAGTTTTTAAAATGGAATGCTTCAAAAACTATACGCGATAAACCCAACATTGTGAAAATTGTGAAAAGTAGAGTTACACACTTTTCGTTACTTGCCATTTAGTTATTTTTTAAAGCACACTTTAGTTACCAACTACATATGAAGTATACACATACATAAGTACTAATTGCACATAAAATTTCAAACCAGTATATGGTGTGCTTCAAAAGTTATGACATAATTAAATGTGCCCCTCTTAAAAATTACATTAAAAAATTCACTTGTTTTCATAATTTTTTTTTTNATGTGCCCCTCTTAAAAATTACATTAAAAAATTCACTTGTTTTCATAATTTTTTTTTTTAAATTTAGACACCTATAATTCAAAAGTTATGCAGCAAATTGATCCGTCTATGAATTGTGTCCCCAATTAACCATCTTGATATAGTTTACCACAATAAAAATAAAGCTAAGTAACACAAAGGTTACCTGTTTTAGATTTGTCCATATATGTACACATATGCAGAGATACATATATATTAAAACATTCAGAATGACGAGATGAATTGGTTCAGCCGTGTATGTTTGTAAACACGCCAACTCAAACAAAATTTATATATTTTAACGAAAGTCGGTGTGAAAGTTGCCTTTGGTATAATTTAGGTTAGTATAAAATTTCGGCGAAATCTGTCTATAGCCACGCCCACCTCCCATGTAGTAATTAACAATATTTTTATTTCATTATTATTTTTTTACGAATTTCGATGTTCAAATTTAAATTTCAAATATATCAACAACCATTTGTGGGTACTTTTGCACCAGTCGTTGCCTATGTGTTAATGACAAAAAAAAACCTATACATGCACAATATTCAATTATTCCATGTATTAATTTTCAAATAAGCATATCGTCAATGGCTGGTTTAATGTATACTGTGATTTCGCATCTTTGCTGAAAATTTTATGAAGCTAGAGTATTATAAAATATTGAAATTGAAAAGTTAATTGTACAAATTTTAGTTATCATTTAGATTTTGAAGGTTGTTACTTTGGCGGCAAAGTACAACGTACTTCATTAAACAGGCCTTGAATGAAATAAAAAAAAAATTGGTGGTGATTATAAACAAATTTTAAAGTGATGTGCAGTCATTGATATAAAAAATATTCAAGTCCAAAAGTCAATAGTGCCTCTTGCTTATCAATTTCCGGCAGTAATATCTGAAACTGATTTAATCACCATAGACAATGAATTCCGTACAATAACGGAAGTTCAATCTGATATAGTACACTTAAGGAAATAATGCATAGTAAAAATGAATACTTTATATTTGATTATCGTTTAAAAATTTTCGTATTTAAAAATAATATTTTCATACAAAAATTTATTACGCAGGTATTGAGTTGAGATCTTATTATGTATATTTAGGTGTGCATACGCATCCCAAGCAGGCGGAGCCACGACAACACACGCACGCATACATAGTACATGCCCTGCAAAAAATTGTGCGACTACTCTCTAAAGAAAGTATTCCGATATTACTCTCGATCGAGTATAATTGGGCATTAATTAGTCGCAAATAGTCTCATACGGATACTATTGGAGATCAATTAGTCTCGACTCATCGCTTACGGGTATAATTGGAGATCAATTAATCCCCGACTCATCTGTAGCGGGTACAATTCACGATTTAATGATAATTACGCACTAAGGCATCTAGTACCGGGATTTGCGATCCCGAGCCCCGGGAGTCCCGAGCCTTTTTGTGAGTCCCGAAATCCCGGGAGCATGCCCTCGGGATCCCGGGATATAATTTAACTTACGACCAAATTAAAATTAAACGAAATTCAGACACTGTGGTGGCATAAAAGAATCATAAAATGCAACCATACAAATAATCAAATAATATATTACAATTTTAGCACTACTATTATTCTGTTATAATATATATAACATATATATGAGGCATTCCTTTTCATATCGGACCACAAATTTGGTGTCACAATTTCGATTCGCTTCACATTTTTCTTTTTTTCTTCAGATATATGATCTGTCAAACTTTGGATTTTTCGTGATTCTGTTCATCGTAGAGACTTCATTGTTGACTCTCACAAAATAAATCACCTCGTCATAAAACAAACAAAAAAAAAATATTTTAAAAATAGTTCTTGAAAATCTCCATTTTTTTTGGAACACGGTTTTTATAGAGAATTAAACAAGGATTATGATGGTGTCATTTTAAATCCCAAATTTACTGGTCCTCACTATGCTTAAAAAACTTAAAAAACTTATAATTTTGGGATAGTGTCTCTTGTGTTTGTGACTGATCGATAATTTAAATAAAATCAATACATAATTACAAAGTTTTTCACGCATATGCAAAAAACAATAATGCCTTGTGTGTGCGATCAAAAGGTTGATAGAAATCTTCCTAAAGAGCAGAAAGTGCAGTGTGCAAAGTGCAATGATCTCTTCCACGCCACTTGTGTTGGTATTCGTCCGGCTGATGTCGAATTTTTGCAAAGTGCTGGTCAGTGTTTTTTTTGTGAAGCTTGCACTATTCTGCGTCGGACTTCCCTCCGTTCACCTCCTCCACCTATTACAAAGGAGAAAACGTCAACCGTCATCACTAGTTCTTCCTCTTCTAATTCTCCGAAGTCTGGAGATTCTACGAAGCATAGTGATAATTCTCTTATTAATGCCGTGAGCCAGCAAACAATAAATTCTCTGTTTAATCTAATAGCATCTCTTCAAACAGAAAATGCTAGTGTGTTAAAGTCGGTGAGTGCGCTAAATGAAGCTAATAATAACCTGGTGCTGGAATCGACAAAAATATATTCGGCCCTTCAATCCATTCAAAGTAAACTTGCCGATAAAGATAAAATTATTGCTGCGCTAACTTCTGAAGTAAAGAGTCTGCGAGTTTCTTTCAATGCTGCTTTTGATAAGCTAAGAGTAAACAGTGAAACTAATTACTCCTCGATGCCAGTTAATTCAATGTCAACTTGTGCTTCCTCTGCTCCATCTTTCGTTGGCGCACTTTCCTATGCTCATATTATTTCATCAAACATGAGCACCGACTCTAATAATATTCCCACAATAACAACAATGGGTTGCCCAATGCAATCAACAGCGTCGTGCACTGTGACGTCGGCAATAACTGATGTTATCTCAGTTTTTGCTCTCCCATCTTCTTCTACGGCTGATGCTAATGCTTGTGCGCTGAAAGATAAAGCTAATGCTTGCGCTGCTTCAACTACGGCTACAGTGACTGCGGCGCCAGTATCCGAAGCTTCTGCTTCTCCTCCTTTACCTGTTTTTGGCACTGACAATGACACAGATAATGCTCAGTGGGTGAAGGTATCGAATAAACGGGCTAGAAAAAACAGCAATAAGAATGCCTGTGGTACTGCTACTACTACTACTACTTCTACGACTGCAGTGACTGCGGCGCCAGCATCTGACGCAGCTGCTTCCTCTCATATGCCTACTGATGTGACGAATAATGTGACTGGCAATGCACAATGGGTAAAGGTGTCGCATAAACGGCATAACAATAATAATAATATTCGCATAAGAGGAACTAGTGATAATACTGATCTAATTGTCGCTGACCGCTACAAATTGCTTCATTTGGCCTCTTTTTCTCCATCCGTATCTGAGGATGACATTAAAAATTATGTAGCTAAACAAATTGATTTAGACAGAACTCTAATCTCATGCTCTAAACTAATTAAAAAAGATGTCTCAGCTCAATCCCTGAATAGGATTAATTTTAAATTAGGAGTCCCTGAGTCCTGTTATGAAAAATTACTATGCCCGGATATCTGGCCAACAAATGTTACCGTTAAGCCTTTTCTGAATTTTCGGAAGGGTCGACGAAAGCTATTACGGACGTAGCAAGTAGTACCCGACTGCACATACAAAATAATAGAGAGCTGAAAATTTACTTTCAGAATTTATCTGGTATGAGAACCAAGTCTGAAATGGTGCACAACTTTAGTGAGCAAATGAATTACGACATCTTTGTTTTCGTCGAAACATGGTTGAATGAGAATTTTTTTGACGGTGAATTCTTCAACTCAAATCTGTTCAATGTATTTCGTAAAGATCGTGATGCTGAAAAAACTGGCTGCCTTCGAGGAGGTGGTGTTCTTATTGCCATTAAGCGTCAACTGCAAGCGTCTTTGGTCACACTTTCGAATGGTGATTCTTTACTGGATCAGCTTTGTGTTTGTGTTAACGGTTCCACACCGCAAGACTCTTTGTATCTTCTTGCGTCGTACGTGCCCCCGGGCAGCTCTTTCGAATTATACAAGGCCCACGCAGATAACATTGCTTCATTAGTCTTAAACAACGTTAAGGAGCATCACCTCTGCGTGCTCGGCGATTTTAACCTACCTAATATTAATTGGTCAACCAGCATTTCTAATAATTACGGTCTCACGCCAAATAATGTCAACTCAAGTCAAGAATTGTATTTCATCGATAATGTACTTAGTCTTAACTTAATTCAAATTAATAATTATTTTAATTCTCTAAATAGGCTACTGGATCTTATATTTATAAGTGACAATTTTTGTTGTGAAGTTAGTGAGTGCCTGAATCCAGTTACTTCTAAGGACAGACATCATCTACCACTTGTTGTCGAGTTTAGATTTTATCATTTTCCTCCGGTTACTACTGTGAGTAGACCAATCTTTAATTATTCTTCGTGTGACTTTGTAAGTCTTAATGATATTTTACTTGAAATAAATTGGGAGGAGCTACTTGGTGGGCTTGATACATCTGTCAGCTTTTCCGCTTTCAAGTCGATCGTATACACCCAATGTTTAGATAGGATCCCCCTGCGGGTAAAAAGAGCCTATAAATTACCTTGGTACACTAAAGAATTAAATAAACTCAAGAATCTTAAAAACAAATTCTTAAAAAAATTTCATAAGAGTAAGAATAACTTCTTCTTCAGTAAATATAAGCTATACTTAAAGGATTTTAATATTTTGAATAAAACTCTTTATTCCGAGTATATGCGCAAAATAGAGGGAAACATTAAATCGAATCCCAAAAGTTTTTGGAAATATCTTAAGGACAAAAAAAGTTCCGCTAGTGTGCCTACCGGAGTTTTCCTTGATGATTACTCGGCGAAAACTCCGGATGAGGCAGCTAACTTATTTGCCGATTTTTTTAAATCGAATTTTTCTGTGGACGATAGTAGTCTGCCGCTTGATTTATCGAATAGTCTGAACTCTGCCTTAAATTTCGGAGCTCTACATCTTTCTTCCGAGGATATTATTAGAGCTGTTAACGATCTCAAATCTTCTTCTCAAACAGATTTAGACGGATTTTCCCCCATCTTATTGAAAAATTGTCCGGCCCTGGTTTTTCCTCTTCAACTTATTTTCAACAAATCACTCTCGTCTGGGATCTTTATTGACGATTGGAAGGTTACGTCTATTACGCCTGTCTTCAAAAGTGGCAACAAAAATGATGTGCGTAACTACAGGCCCATTTCCAAACTGACCACCGTCTCCAAAATTTTTGAACATGCAGTCAATGCTAAGTTGAGCTTTGCGGTTAAGTCCCTTATTTCTCCCTATCAGCATGGTTTCGTTGCGGAGAGGTCGACGATTTCTAACCTTGCTGTCTTCAGTGAGTATTGCATTGAGTCCTTTTCGGCTGGCTCGCAGGTTGATTGTATCTATACTGACTTTTCAAAAGCCTTTGATAGGGTCTCTCATCGAGTCTTAATTTATAAACTGGGATGCCTTGGTTTTCATTCTTCCTTTCTGTTATGGTTAAGTTCATATTTATCCAGCAGGCGGAGTGTTGTCACTGTGGATGGGGTATCCTCTATTCCCTTTATTGCCTCTTCAGGGGTACCACAGGGGAGTATACTAGGTCCATTATTATTTAATCTTTTTATTAATGACATCAGTAATTGCTTTACATTTGCTAAATGTCTCCTGTACGCTGATGACCTAAAATTGTTCTCAATTATTAAGACGCCTGATGATGCAATGAAATTACAAGATGACATTTCCAAGTTACATCTGTGGTGTCATAAGTCTCATCTGTCCTTAAATGCATCTAAATGCTTTCACGTGACCTATTCTAAGTCATCTAATATTCTTCGCTCAAAATACAGTATATCAAATTGTGAACTTCAATGTCTTAGTGAGATTAAGGACCTTGGGGTTATATTTGATAGCAAGTTTTCTTTCAACAGTCATATTAGCCACGTAACCTCTAAATCGTACTCAATGCTGGGTTTTGTTAGGCGCAATACCGCAAAATTTTGTGACCCATATACTTTTAAAGTTCTCTATACTTCTTTTGTCAGGTCTCACTTAGAATATGCTGTCTTTATTTGGCGACCTAGTACTATGACAGCTATAAATAGACTGGAGAGAGTACAAAAACGCTTTCTGAAGTATGCTCTTTGGTCGTTAAATTTTGTGGAGCCCATACCACCTTATGCTGCTCGTCTTATGCTGATAAGTCTCAAATCCTTGGAGAGTCAAAGATCTCTCTTTGTCCTTTTCCTTCAAAATTATCAAGGGCCTAATTGACTGTCCATACTTATTAGAAAGGATTCGGTCTAATGTTCCTCAACGGCATCTTCGCAATGTGTGTCCGTTCTATGGGGTTAATACGAAAACGCAATACGCTTGTAATGCTCCTGTTAATCGTGCTTTACGAGAGTTTAATTCACTAAGTGATGCTATCACCTTGGATTTTTCGATGCAAAGTGATGCTTTTTTCTCGATGCTTAATTCTGCCTTATAAGTGGTTTGATTTATGCACAAAATTAGTTTGTAATCTATAAATTAGTTAAGTACATAGTCTGTAAGGATTGTATTCCAAAGACTTATAATTAAATAAATAAATAAATAAATAAAAAAAAATTTTAAGCGAATCGGACACATGACATAATTTTTGTTTACAAGGTCCGTCCGAGTTGTATATATACCAGGGACGTGAACCGGTTTTGAACCGGAAAACCGCTTTTTTCTATTAATTAACTGAACCATTAACCGAACCGAAATTTTCCACAAATGTTTGATCCGAACCGAAAACCGAACCACTTTCCATAAAGGTTTAAAGGTTCGTTTCAACCAAGTTTTAATAGATAAATGAACCCACTTTTTTCTTTTTGTTAAACATGGTAATACCTACCATGTGACAGAAAGACAAAAGAAATACGTTTATAATAAAATTTTGGAAAACGGGCGTGGCACCGCCCACTTATGATTACATATACATATGTATCTCGGTAACCGGTCTACCAATTTATACCAAACCTGGTATGGCTATTGTGCTTGCCAAATAAAAGCAAAGCGTTGAAAATTATTGAAATCAGACTAAAATTAAGGCCGCTTTTCATATAAGGGTAAATCCTAGAAATGCTTGAAACTTCAATATTTCGAAATTTAAGGAGCTAAATTACTCAAAATTGATACACCCGGCTTACCATGTTGCGGTGGCTTTCGGAAAGGTGAAAATCATATATTTATTACTTGCGCCGGTTATTTAATATTCGGCTCCGCCCGAACTTAGACTTTATTACTTGTTTGTTTTTCGAACCTTTGAACCGAACCGAAACCCCGGTTCAAAGACCAAAAAACCGCGTTGACGAACCAATCCAAAAGTGTAAAAACAGTTCGAACCGCTAAACCGAACCGACAAAATTTTTAATCCGGTTCACGTCCCTGATATATACGTAAGTATATATATGTACATATATGTCGTATTGTGGGCGGCCGCTGTGGTGTAATGGTAAGCAGTGCGCGCTTCCACTCCGCAGCGCCTGGGTTCAAGCCCTGGTCAAAGCACCATCTCAAAAAAAATTTAGAAAAAAGGTTTTTTTCTTAACAGCGGTCGCCAGGCAATGGCAAACCTCCGAGTGTATTTCTGCCATAAAAAACAGCTTCTCATGAAAATACAATCGCCGTTCGGCGTAAAGCTGTAGGTCCCTCCTCTTTGTGTGACAACATCAAGGCGCACGCCACAAATCGGAGGAGAAGCTCGGCCAAACACTAACATATGTTTAAGCGCCAATCTATTATTATTATTATTATTATTATTATATATATGTTTTGGCATACTAATATTAATACACTTATGTGAAACTAATTTGTTTGCATATTTTATTTAATGGTAATAATATCGCGAAATATCCCGGGATCCCGGGATTATCAATTTAAGATCCTGATATCCCGGGATTCACAAAATGGTCCGGGATTGGATGCCTTAGTACCCAGTAGTCTTTCTTTAGTTCGAATACTAGAAATAAAAACGATTTTTTTTTTCGATTATCGCACAAAAAGTTGTATATACTTATATATATTGGAAATGAACGCACAATGTCACAAGACGTTGTTGGACAGTATTTAAAAGATGACAATTCTCCAGGTGAAAATATTGCACTGAAAATATACACAAAATATTTTTTTTTGCTGATGTTGAGCAGTTAGAATAGATGCAGAATGAAGCTCGCTGATCGCCTCGCAACACACTTGGAAACTGTAGAACAGCTTTCGCTAAAAACGAACGCAAATATTCTTTCTCTTTCGGTAAATTTTCATTGAACTTTTTAACCACCTAAAACAGGTTTAGCGCTAAACTTCGCTATTGGAAAACAACAGTCGAAAAATGTTTACGAGTATAGTTATTACAATTGTTTACTAGAAAATAACGGAATCCTGGCCAGCGTTGCCATTTTATAATTTTCGAGCGGAGTGAAATGATCCAAAAAGTGGAGTGATTTTAGGTGTTTCGTAGTGTCAAAGTAAAAACGTTGGACGAGGTAAGTACATGCATAGGTAAAACTCATTTGGGTTATAAACATATACTTGCCCCCGTGCATATACCTGCGCACACCTATTCTTTTAAAATAAAAATAAAAGCAAATTTAAGCTAACTTTTGTACTTTGACGTAGAATACGTCCTATGTGTATAGGTTATTTTAGAGCTTCACGAAAACGCTTTCAAAGAAAAGTATGGGGTTGCAAAGACAAAATTCGAAACCTATCGACAGAATCATTTTTGTAAGTAACCAAATAGATTTCTGTCGTAGAAACAACGGTAAATATCGGCTTATTTTGGAGTCAATTTTGAACTTTTACTTATGACTTGTACATATAACTTTCATTTTCGGGATATAGCTACCTTGGAGCAATAGAAATATTATTGTTTACAAATTTTATATTATTATTTTATTATTATTAATTTTGAGGCAATAAATTGTTGAAAATAATTGCAAATTTTTTTATTACCAAATTATTGAAAAGCGCTCGAATGATTTTGTTTTTGTTTCCTTTCATCAAAAAATTCAAGTATTTTCCTTTCCTTTGGTATATGGGAAGTGGAAGCTTGATATCTTCTAGGTATGTTTATTTTGATTCAAATAAAGAATGTACACGAAAAAAACTGGTCGCACATAACCAAGCATAGCTCGGTTAATCATAACATTAAAATAAAAATCGGTAGACACTTAAAAAGCTGGAAGCATTTTCCACCTTACTGCATCATTTCTTTTTAGTAACAAAAATCAGTGTAGAAACGAGGACCAAGAAAGAAATCGATCGCGAGTTAATATTGCGCAAAAAGCTGGAAAATCCCAGCATGTTCCATAACGACATCGCAAAAAAGCTAAAATTTCCAAAGTCTACCGTTACTTATGTGCTTAAAAAATACAATGAATGTTTATCTTTAAAAAGGAACCCTGGTAGTGGCAGAAAAAAGGATTTCCTTGCGAAATTAAGGCAAGGAAGTGTTATCTGCTTTTAAGAAAAATCCTGGACCTTCGGTAAGAGATGTCGGCAAAAAATTAAACATGTCGTCTTCGTATATACAAAAAGTATGCAAAACAGCAGGACTACGTTCTTACAAAGTGAATGCAGCACCTAATCGCAACGGTAAGCAAAATTTGTTGGCGAAACAACGTGCTCGGAAATTGTACGACAGTCTCATACAAAAATTTGGCTGTATTGTTATGGATGACGAATCGTACGTAAAAGCCGATTTTAAACAAATCCGGGGCCGCGAATTTCACACTGCAAATAAAAGAGGCAATGTTGCAGATAAATATAAAAACAAAAAGTTTGACAAATTTCCCAAAAAGTTTCTCATTTGGCAGGCAATTTGCCAATGCGGCTTCAAAAGTGATCCTTTTGTAAGCACTGGTACAATTAACCAAGAAATTTATGTTAAGGAGTGTCTGCAAAAGCGACTTTTACCTCTTATACGGCTTCATAAAGATCCAGTGCTTTTTTGGCCTGATCTCGCGATATGTCATTACGGAAAAATGGCTTTAGGATGGTAACATAGAAACAAAGTGTATTTTGTAGCAAAAGAGGTGAATCCACCTAATTGTCCAGAGCATCGGCCGATCGAAACCTACTGGGCCGTTATGAAATCCAAACTTCTTAAGACCCACAAAGCTGTAAAAAACGCACAACAATTCAAAAATAAATGGCAGCTGGTTTCCAAGGAAATCACTGAAACTTCTGTGCAAGGGCTAATGAAG